CCATAACAATTTCACTAATTGATGGACGGCTTTCTTCCTTGCATGAGACACAACGCGATGCTACATATAACAAGTGCTTAATCGTGCCCTCCATGAATGTTGGCAAAGCGATTCTCGCGTCACATATTTCCATCAATCTTTGCTTCTCAATCAATGGCACTGCCCAATCAACTATTGAAGCCGGCCGCCTAGAAACATCGATCGCTTTTTGACAGCTAACGATCTCTAACAAAACAACTCCATAGCTGAAAACATCATTCTTGGTGCTTAGTTTGCTAGGTGTGGTGTAACAAGGATCCAAGTACCCAATAGTGCCAGCCGGTTGAGTCTCGTGATCAGGGCTTGATGATGAATCCACGCGCAGCACAGCAAGTCCAAAATCGGCCAACTTAGCCTTCCAATTTAAATCAAACAAAACATTAGCAGATTTAATGTCTCTGTGAATAACCAAAGGCTTGCCCTCGTGAAGGAATTGGATTGCCCTTGCGATTTGGATAGCAATTTCTACTCGTTTAGGCCATGATGGTGGAGTGGCATCAACATGCAACAAGTCATGGAGAGAACCGCAAGGCATGTACTCCATAACCAAAAGCCTGTTCTTCTCCTTGCAAGTTGAGTAGTGATCATCATCATGACTCGTTCCAAGAAAGTTGATGACATAAGGACTTTCACGTAGGGAGGATAAAACACATATTTCATTCTCAAGCTTCTTGGAGTTGTCAATAGAGACATGGTCACTGCCAACAGATGATTTCTTGATCGCAACAAGCTTATTTTCTTCAAGTGTGCCCTTGTAGATTGATCCATGGCTTCCTTTTCCTAGGAGTCTTGAAGGAGAGAAGCTTCCAGTTGCCTTTACAAGTTCCTTATAGTCAAGCTCCACCATCGATCTTTCTTGTTCTTTTCTGTTCGTTAACAAGCACTTGCTAGGTGTGAAAGAAACTGAAGTGAAACAAAGAAAGAAAACAAGTACTACTGGCTCAAGCTGGTTGGTTGAAGGGGAAAGTGGGGGCTTCCTGGAGTTGGAAAATGGAAAGGAAAAGGTGTTGTAGAAGGCAGAGAATAAAGGGAGCTTTGGGTGGCATGAAAAGGATAAATATAATGGAAGAATTATTGAAGAAAGGAAAAGATAGTAAGAGATAGAGAGAAAGTTGGAGAAAAGCAAAAGCAGCGCTGTCCTAGTTAAAAGAAACGCTTCTGACGAGGGATGAGACCCCGTCGGTCGTTTTGTTCCCCACCACTCTTTCATTTTATTTATTATTTATTTAGAAGATGCTAGATGATTCACCTGTACTATCGGTCATATTAAATTTAAAAAAAAAATAAAAAGAAAAATTTTAATATTAATTTTTCATTTTTTCTAATAAATAACTATATAAAAAATAAATTATAAAATTTAATTTTTAATCATTCGTATCGGACTAATATTAATAATAAAATTTATAAAAAATTTAATTAAAAAATAACATAAAAGATAAGTTAAGTTAACCTGAGTTAACCATTATGCATTATTACCAAGTTATGAAACTAAAATAATCTAATAAAAAAAATAAAAAAAATTATAAAAGCTAATTTTCAATTCAACACAATATTAATTAATAAAATAAAAAAATAATTAAAAATATAAAAAATATAAGTTAATTAGGTTAACTCACGGCCTAGATCATGAGACATGGACAATCTAATAAAAAACAAGTTCTATGTTGAAGGACTGGAGACTCACGTAATGAGACTAATATAAACTCTTAAAAAGAAAAAAATAATAACATAATTTAATTAAGGTTAAAGTATCAAAACTCATGACCTTAATCTTAAGACCAAGATATTCTCATAAAAAATAAATTATGATAAATTATAAAACTTAATTCACAATCGATCCAAAATTGAATAAAATAATTAAATAAAATAATTAAATAAAATAATTAAATAAAATATATATAAAATAACTCAAGTTAACTCAGGTTAATCCGTTAAGCATTATTCTCATGTTATGAGATCATTACGATCCAATAAAAAGTAAACAAAATAAATCATGAAATTTAATTTTTAATCAAATTAATATTAAATAATGAAACTGGAAGAAAATAAAATCTGAGTCAACTGAGTTAAGTCGTCGAACCAGGTTAATACGTCAAATCTGGTATTTATATCATAAGAGTGTGATCCTAATAAAAAAAATCTAATATTAAAAAATTAAATTAAAAAAAAATATTAATTAAAAAAAAATAAACAAAATAAAGCATTATTCTAATGAATGAATAGTACTTTGTAAGAAGAAGTATAATAAAACTCTCTATTTTTTTAATTTATAATTAATTTAAAGTCAATATCTTTCGAGAAATATATTATTATCAGTTTAACCACCCTTAATTTATATTAATTTTAATTAATATATAAATATCACTATTATTTTTAAGGGGAAGATTGTCTGGTTTTTAAGGCAAAACTATCATATTTCATTTTATTTTATGATGGGTATTTAAAGGTTAAAAACTATAGGAATTAATTCTAGTATTTGATAAAAATAATCCTCTAACTTTTAATTTTAGTTTTTTTATTTTTTATTTTTCACAATCAATAAAATTAAATTTTTTTTTTTGCAAGATCGAGAACCAACTAAATATTAAGAAATTATTTTAAGACTATAATAATCTAACAAAAAAATAATAAGAAATAAACATCAAGTGGAATCCCTAATAAAAGAAAGAAAAATAGTTAAGGCTGGAGTAAAAAAAAAACATGACCAAAAAAGAAATTGTTTTTTGATGAAGGTTCATTTGTAAATTTTGGTCCCTCATTTTTATTTTTTTTACAAGAACTCAAACCAAGTTCTTTTTCACAAAATTAAAAACCGATATAACATTAAACCAATTTGGCCACAAGATGCAACCGAGTTCATATCGAGCACTTGGGGCTGGTATAGCACAATGGCTCATGCCCTCCCCCCTTAGTCTCATCACCATCAACTCTCCCTGATTCAATCTGTAGGCAGCCTCATTCGGCAATGAAGCTCCAGGAACAAGGTCTCCATGTTGCTGAATTTGTCTCATAAATGGCAGACTCAAAGGAATCTCGCCAAAAACATCTTCAAATTCTTTCAGCAATGGTTGAACTTGAACAAGCTCGTTATTATCATTTGAAACAATTTCATTCTCTTCTACAATCAACAATGCAAATAATTCTTATTTTCTAAAGTTAATCCTTTCAAATTAAGAACTGGTTAGGAACAACTACAAGAATTTTTAAATTTACCGACGGAATATTATATTCCGTCGGTAGTTAGACATAATGTCTATCGAGATGATTTTTAACAACAAATTCACAAATAGTCATTGTTCATTGAAAAAAATCTCATCAACAATTCCTGTGTTATCTATAATTTTATAGGTAAAATAATCATCAATAGATTTACAAATGAAATAAACACATCAAATGATAATATATATATATATATATATAATTTTATTGGTGATTTTTTTAATATTATCAATAAAATTAAATCATGAATGATTAAACATGGCAATGATTATAGTAATTCTTTCTCAATTTTCTGAAATATACTAACAAACTTAATCTATTAATAAAACCATTAATAGTATTTAAAAAATATTCAGTTAAAAAAAAAAACATTATATCGCGTGTCACCGTAAAATACTTAATGCCTTTAAGTTTTCTTTTTTTAGCTCCTTCATGCAATTGATCCAACATATATGAACATCAATAGAATGAAAACTCAAACCAAGTAAATTTTAGGTGTCTTCATGATGGTGGAGATTACGAACTATCGAATACGGATTTGTTGTAACTAGACCATATAAAAAGCCTAACAAATATATAAATATATTTATGAAGCATATAAATAAGTTTAGATCCAAGAAGAGAAGAGAGTTCATGTCAAACAACTTATTTGATAGAAATAATCTAAACTTTTGATTTGATCTTTGCATTATGTGCAATAGAAGTGAGTTTTTCGACTCAAAGGCCTTAAAAAGAAAAAAGCCTGAAATGCTAGTTTTATTTTTTATTTTTTTAGTTTTTATTTTTATTTTTCTACACGTGTTGGGATTTTGATTTCCATTTCTTATAATGGTCACTATATAAAAGTGGTTATTCGAGGTTAAGCATTTTTGTTTTAGAAAGTGTTTTTCTTTTATAATTTATTCTTTTTTAACAAATCCAAATATCAAAAATAATTTTTAAAAAATAAAAAAAATTATTTCAATATATTTCTAATAAAAACACTTTAAACTACTACCATTGCTACAATAACAAACACACCCTTAAACCCTTTTTTTTTCTTGAAATTGTCTTTATTTATTATATTGATTCCTCATTTGACTTAGACTTGGCGGCGTTACCTCACCAAAGATGAGTTTCAATTAGATTTTATATGTTTACAAGGGGCAAGTGATGGTAGAAGAGAAGACTGGAATGCCAGAGACGGCCAACCATCATCATCTCCATACGCTCTGCTCAGTCAAGCCATCCCTTTCTGCGCGAGCACATGAGCACCAGGTAGGGCTAGCACCACCACGTCCCTAGCAAAATGGTCGGAAAATTCTCCCACCGAGACAAGTGAAAATCCCAATTTATGCAGAACTTCAAGCATGCTCACCAACTGCAAGCCTTTTCCGTATTGGTGCACAAACCAGCAGCAACACGACTCCTAACATTTGGAAGACATGACTTGCAGAGCTTCTAAACTCTTCTATACAGGCGCGTAGACACGCACTATCTGTCTAGATTGATAGAGTGCGAGAGAGAGCGCTTCTAAAATCTTAAATGCAGTTAATCCTATGCTTAAAACTTTAAAATTAAGAATGCCTTCTAAGGTATTGCATAAATGATTCTCGAAAAAGAAAAGATTACAGCATAAATGCAAAGAAATCAAACATCCAGTGGAAAATGTTGCACGGGCTGAAAGATTGACAAAGAAATAAAATTGATGACAGAAAAACAAACAATAAAGAGAGAACTTTTTAAGAGTAGAATGCCCAAAATGATCAGAAAATGAACCTGTATTACTTGTCATATCCACAAATCAATTAACCAAAATAGAATGAAACCCAAGCAAAAGTAACTCTAGAGGTAATTCTAGAAAGCCATTGCATGGTACATTTCAAAAGTAAATTGCTCCTACGGCTATCCATTTAGCGTTGCTGGTACAACACACATCTCGAACAAGCAATGGACAATATCCATAAACTTAATAACATAATTCTTCAAAACTTTCTTCTCATGTGTTTTTAGCAAATGGGCAAGTTTCTTTTCTCTTTAACCAGTTCATTCGACTCCAAAACCTTCATAAGATGGTACCTTGACAGAATCATGTTATCAATCTTTACAATGCAGTGGTTGTTTTCTATGTTCCCATATAAGTGTAGTGCGTTGAAACAATAGGTCGAACTCCAGCAAAAGCCAAAATCAAATGATAGGGGTATGAGAATCACCATGAGATGACAGTAAGAACCAAATGTACATATAGCGCTCATTCAACAAACTGAGAAATACAGATTGGAATATGAACACGGAAAGAAACAGTCACTGAAGCAATTTACACGACTCTGATGATGTGCATTACACAAGGGAACCCTCTTCCATGAAGTTTACTCTAGCTGGTACCGTCTTATATCTCCAATAAATCGACAATCATTGGTAGTTATTCAAGTATTTATTCTCACGTATTGCCGAGCAAACTCAAAATGTTAGTCCCATTAATCAGTTTCTTGGACTCCAAAAGGAAAGAACTGAACAATAAAATCAGAAACATAAATTGATCCGAGCACACACACAAACTACTTCTGAAGCAAGTTAAGAGTACTATTAAGCTGTGCATTGCAGAAGCAATACTTACTTTTTTGTCATAAAGAGTGAGTTCTTTTTGACTTGTCAGTACCGCCATATATCTGCAATAAATCTGGAGCTTTGTCCGCATATTTGGTAACATAATTTAGCAGGAACTTCTTCTCGCTGATTGTTAGCGGAGTAGCAATATTCCAATCTCCTTCAATTAGCTTTCTCGACTCCAAAACCTTCATAACATTGTACCTTGGACGAACCCTTTTATCAATTGAGAAACCAATAAAATAGGGATAGGTAATTAAAGATTGCCGTCCCAATTCCATGGTATTAAAGAAAAAATCCATTGCGCCCCTGATTTTCTCCTCTGAACAAGTCAATAGCGGGGGGAATCGCTTAAAGGCACACAAAACCTCACCTTCACTCCAACCCATACTTTTCATCACCTCAATTCTCTTCCTCCAGGTTGATTCAGAAACTATAACCAGCACAGCAAGAACACGTACAAACATACTATCCCCTGGTTGGACGCCCAATTTTTTAGTAGCAGCCACTGCATAAACCATCTTATCATGCTTCTGCCCCATAACCCTTGGTTGCCATTGCATCAGTTTTGCTATTCTATCGATGGACACTCCCTCTTTTATCAGGAAATCGGTATTTAACTGCATATCACCATTTAAAGGAATCGACAACAACCATGGGGCACGCATAATAGCTTCTACCACTTCCTCGTTACTGGCATAAAAAGGCTTCAAAAACTCAAAAAATGGCTTAATATGAGAACCCAGATGCCTTCTCAAAACGTCCGGGTTCGATACAATAAGCTGGGGCAGAAGCTGACCCGCAAAGCCATTTTTTATGAAGAAGTCAAACTTAGGCTTGAGAGTATCTTCTGTTCTGGAATGGAGGACAGCAGGCCACTTCTCGATCGTTTTGGCGATGTGGGTATCCTTAAAGTCGTTAGATTTCAAGAATTGGATGACAGATTGGGGCTTATGGAGGTTATTTTCATCGATTTGGAACTTTTTGGAAACTGAGAGGGCAGATTGTAGAGGAAGCCCACAAGAGTTGACAAGGAATTGAACAGTAAATGACGATGAAGATGTTTGCAAGCAACGTTTTTGAATCAGAGAAAGCAGAAGGTTTCTCCTCATGGCTATAATATTGGTGGCCGTTTCGAAATTGCTCAGAGGGAAAGGGTTTTCGTTAGGGTTTTCGGCAATCAGCGCAGCAACGGCCACATGTTCACTGAGGTGAGGCTATCACTGTCCCGGATCCGATAGGGTTATTACAATCAACAGCCCAGTTTAAACTACTAGTTTTAAAACAAAATTGAATAAATAATATATTTTAACAAATACATAATTAAAAAGAATTTTCAAAAATATTTTAAAAAATAAAAAATATATTATTTTAATATATTTTCAACCAAGAAATACTTTAAAAATTAATTATTACCGTACTTTCATGCATCTTGATCGAATCATTCTTTAATTATATTTTAGAGCATAAATCATAATAAATTTTATGATTTATTACCATATAATTTCGTGAAATTATATAAAAAAAAAATTTATATATTTTAATGTTAAAAGAGTGTTTAAGAACAAATTAAATCTTATTTTTTATCCTTTAGAATAGGCATAATTATAATTAAAAATTATTTTTAAATTATTTTAATATGATAATATTAAAAATATTTTTTTATTAAAAAATAAAAAACCATGAAGGTTGAGAATTAAACCTTAATTATACACAAAATCTCCTTCCTCACCCATCCCAAGCTCTTCATTATCACAAATTTCTTTTTTTTATTTTCCAAATTGTTTTAATATAAGCAAAGTTCTTGGTTGCAATTGCATCAGCTTTGCAACCCCATCAACATACAATCCCTCTTTGATTACGAAATTAATATTTGATTGTGGAACACACTTGAAATCAAATGAAAATAACCATGAAGCTTGCTTATTCAAAGTGTTCATAGCATTATGGAGTTTTTCAATATTTTTAATTGGATTGAAAAGTTTTGGTTTGACTTATTTTAACATTTTATTCAAAGTTAATGTTATAATATTTTAAAAAACATGAAAAAATATTATGCAGGTACTGCATGGATGTAAATTTATTATATTAATAATTATATTATAGATATAAAATGTTTACACTATGAATAACACTATAATATTATGAAAGTGTTGTTTTTATTATTTTTTAATTAAAAAAATATTGTTGAAGAGCGTTGTCTTTTATGTTTTCTCAGTCAAAAAGTGTTAGATCTAGCTTAGCTATCAGGTGATACTCAATATCTTTAGGTCTAGTTGTCTAGGAATATAAAAAATAATACAAAAATATTAAAAAAATATTAATTTAAAGTATAGAAAAAAATAAAATAAAATTTGAATTTTTTTAAAAGTATTTTTAAAATAAAAAATAAAAATATTTTAATAAAAAAAATCAACTTAATCTCAAATAAAAAATAATTATTATTACCTAACTTTTATATAATATGAAGATGCTTTAGAGTTTAAGTAAAGCAATCTATCTTTTCATGATTAAAAAACTTTTTTTTTCTTTGATTTTTTTATAAAAATAATTCAGTTTTAATTTTAATGTTTTTATATTTGGTTGGGTAGCCAAACTTAAGAATGCTAGATCTAATTATGTAATAGACCTAAAATATTTAAGATATTCTCTATACTATTTATATTTAATTTATATTTAAAAAAAATGTTACGAAAGCAGGTCAGTATATGTTGGTACATATAAAAAATAACTTAAAAATTAACTCATAAATTATTATGTTTGATGTACTATTATGGAGAAAATTTGGTGTTCATCACTGATATAATTATGGTGATTTGTTGTATTATTAATGGAAAGATTACTTCTTTTACTTTTTTAGAAAAAAAATTGAATTATAAAATGAAAGTCATCACTCTTTGACTCGTGTTTCTTTGTATTCATTCAACAAAAAATCTAAAAGGAAAAATCAATTTTTCCCTATTTTGTAGAACTTCACTTCGACTTGGCTTGTTAATTCTTGCCGGGGAGAAAATTGGTAGCCGCGTTGCCTCTATCTTGAATTGCCATCTGGCACCTATTTTATGTGGAGAAGAGGATCTTGTGATATGCACGTCATGCTCAGTCCTTAATTAAACTTTTCAAAAGCATTTGAGAAATACAAAAGAAAATGAGAATGATTTGCCACCATGATTGCTAAAAAAAATAAAAATATCTAAGCAATAAAATAAAAAATGAAAACGTTCTACCATTTAAATCTAGAAGAAAAAAAGCATATTCAAGAAATAAAAAAAAACCAAAAGTACTCAACCATTAAAATTCCAAAAATACCTATAAAATAAAGTAATTAAAAAATAACTTTTATTTTATTAAAAAAACAAATAGCTTTATTCCTTCTTGAATATAAATTTATTATATTAATAATTATATTATAGATATAAAATGTTTACATTATGAATAACACTGTAATATTATGAAAATGTTGTTTTTATTATTTTTAGTTAAAAAAGGATTATTGAAGAGCGGTGTCTTTTATGTTTTCTCTATCAAAAACTGCTAGATCTAGATTAGCAATAAAGTGATACTCAATATTTTTGGGTATAATTGTCTAGGAATATAAAAAATAATACAAAAATATTTTAAAAAAATATCAATTTAAAGTATAGAAAAAAATAAAATAAAATTTGAATTTTTTTAAAAGTATTTTTAAAATAAAAAATAAAAATATTTTAATAAAAAAAATCAACTTAGTCTTAAATGAAAAATAATTATCGTTACCTAACTTTTATATAATATAAAGATACTTTAGAGTTTAAGTGAAATAATCTATCTTTCTGCTATTAAAAAAATTTCTTTTTTTCCCTTTATTTTTTCTTGTAAAAACAATTTAGTTCTAATTCTAATGTTTTTATGTGTGGTTGAGTAACCAAACCCAAAAATATTAAATCTAGTGATCCCATCAAACTTTAAATATTTAAGATATTTTTTATATTTTTTTTATATTTAAAAAAAATTGTTATGAAAGCAGGTCAATATATGTTGGCACATATAAAAACTATCTTAAAAATTAACTCATAAATTATTATGTTTGATGTACTGTTACAGAGAAAGTTGGTGTTCATCACTGATGTAATTATAATGATTTGTTGTATTATTAGTGGAAAGATTACTTCTTTTACTTTTTTTTTTTTAAAAATTGAATTATAAAATGAAACTCATCATTCTTTGACTCGTGTTTCTTTGTATTCATTCAACAAAAAATCTAAAAGGAAAAATCAATTTTTCCCTATTTTGTAGAACTTCACTTCGACTTGGCTTGTTAATTCTTGCCGGGGAGAAAATTGGTAGCCGCGTTGCCTCTATCTTGAATTGCCATCTGGCACCTATTTTATGTGGAGAAGAGGATCTTGTGATATGCACGTCATGCTCAGTCCTTAATTAAACTTTTCAAAAGCATTTGAGAAATACAAAAGAAAATGAGAATGATTTGCCACCATGATTGCTAAAAAAAATAAAAATATCTAAGCAATAAAATAAAAAATGAAAACGTTCTACCATTTAAATCTAGAAGAAAAAAAGCATATTCAAGAAATAAAAAAAAACCAAAAGTACTCAACCATTAAAATTCCAAAAATACCTATAAAATAAAGTAATTAAAAAATAACTTTTATTTTATTAAAAAAACAAATAGCTTTATTCCTTTTTAAACATCGTGAAATATAACTGAGAGATGTAGTTTAACTAGTTAAATTCTAAATTTACTCGTTAAAAATTACTGATTTGAATTTTATAAACTTTTTAGATTTATAAAAAAGCACAAATTAAAAGGATATTTAAAAAATAATATAGCTTGATATAACCACTTTTAAGAATATTATTTTTATATACATCTATAATTCAAAATAATGATGGTATTTTAGAATATATATTTGTATACAATTGCATGTATTATGTAATCATATTTCAAGACATATTATTTTTCTAAATAGACAAGATTTAAAATATAATGACAAAAAAAAAAACAAAAGAGATAAGATAATATTATTAAAATAATTAAGATTAAACATAAAAAAATTTAGAATTTTAGATAATCTGATGAATTTTTAGTCTTAACTTGAATACAAATAAAATATATATAGATTAAACTGAAATTATTATTATATTTTTAATAAATAAAATTATATAAATATTATTTAAAAATATGAAAAAAAATAAAACAAAAAAAAATTACTAAAAACACATCAAGATTTTATTTTTAGTATTTTTTATACTAATAGAACAATTTTGATAAAATAAATCTAGATACGCCCTTTAAGGACACTAAATAAAGTCATAATTAATTATAATTATATATAATGGCTTTTGTTATATCTAGTTCTATTTAAATCTCATTTCTTAATTATTAAATTTTTATAAAATTCTACTTTAATTTTTTATACATGTTAATCAAATAAAAAGATACATAATTTTGAAAGAACTGTTATTCTAGATTGTTTAAAAAATATATTATTTCTCATGTATTTTTCTAATTTGTCTTACCTTTCTAAGAATATGTTCAAATTGCGTTCGAATTCTAGAATACACCCGTAAAAACGCAGCGGGTCCTACATGTACCCCAAAATTTAGCTGAGCGCATTTGAAAGCCGAAGAAATGCTGACGAGGATGCCTGAAAGTCTCTGTTCATGGGTCAAAGCAATCCGCCAAAATCTTATCCTTCATGAGGGACTGAAATTAAGATTTTTTATATCTATAATTAAGAGTGAGGGACAGACGAAGCTTCAAGGTAATTATAATTTAGTCCCTGTAGTTTAACAGAATTAATCAATACATCTAATCCCTATTTTTTAAAATTCATTTATTGCTTAATCTTCTTTTTTATTTTAAGAAAAAGGAAGGGAAAAAAAAGTAGATAAGATGGACGGATTGATGTGAAAATAAAAATAGTCAACACTAGTCAAATGACTACTCATACTACAAGGATTAATTTATTTGTTTTTATAAACCACAGGGATTAAGTCGTGGCTAACTCTTTTTTTTTTTTTAAGTCCTAATTTGTTGCTATTTGTATTTCTGGCAAAGAGGAAATAAATTCAGGGTCAAAGGGCAAAAGGGGAAATTGAGGGATACAGAAAGAAATGAGGATTTCAGTACTGAAAATTCAAGAGGGGGGGCACTGTACAAATTCTAGCAAATTCACGCTGTACACAGCGACAGACCACTCGTTTCAAAGAAGTAGACCACGTGGAGGC